TGTGCCCCTCTTGTCTGTCCTTGATGAAAACATGGGATGGCTTTGAAATTATTAGGGAAGAATATTAAAGAGTTGAAAGACACCTCAAAGAATGGATGGTTCATTGTCCATACAACTGGGAAAAATTAATCAGGATAAAGCTCACTGTGATGGCTCAGTTCAAGGAAAAGCCTTTTTTTGAGGAAAAGGAGCACTGCAATCCTTATATTCACAGGTGAAGGATGTGATAATCCAAGTTACTTCCTTCATGGTGAATATTAAGGTTTTAAGGCTGAATTTGAAGATATTTTAGGAGCAAAGAGATCTGTGGAAGGCAAAATATGGTGCAAATTTATAGTGAATGTAATGACCTTCTCTTACAGAAACGGAGCAGGTTTGGGTGGCAGAGAGCAGAAAACACCTGGGGAGGGGCACGGGGCTGCTCCACCCTGGCTGTGTTTGCACCCAGAGTTTGTGAGCACTCCCTGGGCTGGCTGTGGGGCACAGCAGGGACAGGGACAAGGACAGGAACACAGCAGGGACAGGGACAAGGACAGTGGGAACAGCTGGGGCTGGGTGAGCAGCACCTCACCTGGGCCAGCTCTGGCTCCCAGAGGCTGGCCTGGCCCCTCTCCCCAGGTAACTCCTTCATCTCCTTCATCTCCTTCATCTCATCTCCTTCCTTCCCTAATGTGCAGCTCTGCTGCTGCTGGTTTGCTTTTCCTGGGTTTTGCCCTCACAAAAGCATTTTTTTGCACTTGCTTTTTGCTGCTTTGCTCCAGCAGTCCTGCCTGTGCTCTCCTGCTCAAGGATCTTGGGAGCTCTGGCAAGTTTTCTGTATTTGGGCTTTAAATCACCCCTCTGCCTTCTCCCCCACGGTGTCCTCCTGCAGAATGGGAGCACAACTTGGTGGCAGAGCCTTTCACCAGCCAGACTGGGACTGGTTGTTCACCTGGTGGCATTGTGGAGCTGTCCCCTCCCCGAGAGCCCAGGGCGTGAATGTTTGAACTATTTTGCTTTTCCTACTCAGCTCCAGCGTGGAGTGGCTGAAAGAATTGTATAAAACTGTCCTCAGAGCCTTGAGGACAGCAGGTTGTGCATGCCCACCCCTGCCAGGCTCTGAGGTGTTGCTGGGTGTTCCCTGTTTGCTGTAGGTGACTCAGCCCAGCCCTTCCTCCTCCTGTCCTCCTGCTGTCCCTCCTGTCCCACTGCCGTGCCAGGGCTGGCAGCACCTGGCCCTGCCCCACCACGGCTCGAGGTGCTTCTCCTGCAGGACGAGGCAGAGCTGCTCTCAAGGTAAGCAGAATTTCTGAACTCTGTGCTGTTATCGGCCCTTTCTTCCCTCCACGTCAGTCAGGGCTGAAAATTCTGCTTTTCCACCTGTCTTCAAGCTCACCTGGGTTCCAAGAGCTGGGAAATTGATTCTTTTCTATGGTGCTTAAATACAACATATGGTAAGTTTTAGTGAGGAATTCATTGTGGACTTTTGGCATTAATAGGTATTGACCAGCCTGCAATTCTCCAGGCTGGTCAATACATCAGGAAGGTGAGGCTTGGCTGCCTTCAGGAGTACACAGCAGATCATAGATTTTGTTGTAATTTTCTCTCATATTTTCAAAGCTTTTACCATTCTGCCAGCACCAAACCAACAATTTTTAAAAGAGAGAGAGAGTGAAAAAGGAAGATTTTTCCAAGCCTTGAACTTGGCACACTTTGGTTCACATAACATTAAAACCAATTAAAAATACATTTGTTTTCCTTCTGAATTATTTTCTGCATTACAATGGAAGCAGTGAAGCATAATTTAGGAAAGGGATTGTTTCAGAGCTGTAGAAGCTGGTAGCTGGTGTTCCTTTTGGAACCAGTCAGGCTGGATTCCAGCTGGCCTGAGGGAAACCCCCACAAGGACAATATCCTTGGAACTTGATGGAAAACCTGTACTAGAAAGGAAGCCTGATGACAGGAATTACTGCAGCTCCTCCTGACTTTTAAGGGCTTTCCTCTCATTTTGAAGAATGTTCTTGTGTCAGAATCATCTCTTTTCTGCTTCCATCCCTCCAAATTAATCTTCTGCTATAAAAGTTGTGGGATTTTCTCTCCCAAAGTGAGGAAGTTCTTCCCGCAGAGCCCTGGCACAGCTCTGGGAGGGTGTGGATCTCCCTCTCTGGAGACACCCCAAACTCACCTGGCTGAGTTCCTGTGTCACCTGCTGCAGGTGGCCCTGCCAGGGCAGGGTGAGCTCCAAGGGCCCTTCCAAGCAGATTCTGCTGCAATTCTGTGATTATCTGATCCACAAACACATCGTGGGTGCTCCTTTATTTCCCAGAAAACCTCTTTGCCTTCACATTGAGTAACTCCAGCTCCAAGCCACGGTATAACAAGTGAGAGAAAAATGGATCTGACCACATAAACAGAGGCCTGATCACTCTGGGGAAAGCAAAACCATTCCTTGGGAATGGCAGGGCTGGAGCTGCTGCTTTGCTCAGCTCTGGAGCCACACACGGGGACAATCTCTGCAAGAGAAGGGCAGAGCTGTGGCATCAGCTGGCAAATGATTCCATTTTCTGTGTGAGGATCATCACTGCTGCTGCTCACATTTGTCTGTAGGTGGCAGTGACCTGTTATTTTTCTTTAAAATAGGGCAGGAGTAGCACACATGATATTTTCTGTATCATAGAGTGGTTTGGGGTGGCAGGGACCTTAAAGCTCATCCTGTCCCATGGCAGGGACACCTTCCTTTGTCCCTTGGACACTTCCAGGGATGGAGCAGCCACAGCTGCTCTGCTCCATGGTTTGGTGGTTTGGGATCACATTTGGGATTGTGCAGCAAGTTTTCCCATTTTCAGCAAAAAGCACCTCCTATTCATCTCCATCTTTCCTTCAGAGAGTTCCTGTGAGTGAAAATGTTTTGAAATTCCACATGGCTGCTGTGTGTGTTTTATTTCAGTGAGAATTATAAACTGGATTTTAGGAAATGGCTGAGCTCCCCTGGAGCAAAGTCTGCCAGAGATCAGAGCCTGTGGCCCCTGCTCTGCATCTCACCTGGTGTGAGGAAATCTGCATCAACGGGAAGCTGCAGGGGCTGAGGATCAACTACAAATCACTGAAATTAAAAAAAAAAGAAAAAAAAAAGAAAAAAAAGAGGCATTTACTTCTCTCTCTCACACGGACTTTACAGAACGTGTGAGAAAGGAAGCAAACCTGCAAATATTCCATCCTGCTCCTGAGCTGTGTCCTGGCACAAACCAGGCCTTGGGAGAGCAGGACAAAAACAAATCCTCCAGACTGAAGCAGACACTGAATTTACCATCATTCAGATCTTGTTTTTTCTCCTGCCATGGATAACCCTGGGAGCTGCCAGGAAACAGTCAGAGAACAAGGACAAGAGCTCTTTGTGCATCCACAGGGAGGCACTGGCTGATTCCCACCTCAAATCAGGACTTCTGGTTTATCCTGGCAATACCAGCTGAGGAATAAAACCCCTGTGAACAACCAGGTCAGACCCAGGGGTTGGGGCTGAGAGCTGACCCCACTCTCCCATTCCAATCCTTGGCAACGTCATTTACTAAAACCACTGCTTTCCTTCTTCCCTCTGATAGCTGTGAAAAACACCAATCACTTGGTTTTTAAAAATTTTAAAAGTTTAATAATAACAAAACAGTTATAAAAATATACAATTAGAGTAATAAGTTTAGAGTTAGGACAATTACAAGACAATAAAAGGCAAAGAATTACAGAGTCTGGATGCTCTTGGACACTCAGTCACAAAAAGCATGACTTGTGAACAAAGGAATCACCTTTAAAACAATGCACTTGTTGGATATTCATATATCCTTCATGGTTATGAATACATTCTATTTAAAACAAGAAACTCTGTCTGTTGTATGTCAACTGTTTCTTTTAATCCCCTGGTGTCTGAGTCTGAGCAAGGCCTGAAGAAATTAGCTTCTTCTGATAAGAAGCCATAAATTCCTCTCCTTTGGAAGATTTAGTTGTTCTTTAAAGTGAGTATCTCATTCCTAAAAAAACACTTCCACCACATACATAGTCTCTATTTTAACATTATGTTGGAACCTAAAACTATATTTAAGACACTACGTAAGAGAATTAATACAGCATAACTTTCTAACATTACACATATAATATTCATTGTAACATTTGCAAAAAGCCAATCATAACATATGCATTTTTCACATAGCTAAAGTGGTTTAATTAACATTTCATCTGATTTATTTAAAGGAGACGTTCTTCTCCATTCTTTGCAGCTTCACTGTTTCCCCCAGGCAGAAAGCAGAGCAATAATAACTTTGGTAGCCCTGGTGGCTGTGCAGGACATCCCAGAGGGTGAGCACAGCTCCAGCCTCCTCTCCTTGGCACCTCCCTCTCTCCAGGCGTGGCTCAGGAGACTTTCTCCTCATTGTTTATTTGGGTATTTTAACAGCAAACACACATTTATATCCCAAGTCAATAGGAACTCCCCTCTTGACTTGGGTCTGCTTTGCTCTTCCTCCATTTTCAGGGAGTGTTTGGCCCCAAAGAATTTACAGAGCAAGATCAGAGGGTACATAAATGCATTTTAAAATAAAGGGACAAGAAAAGAAAATCCCCCAAATATATTTGTTTTTCTTTTCCTCTTAATATCAAAACAATCCCTCAGAAGATTTATGTGAAATCGTACACAGGCTGCAGTTCAGAGTTCCCACGTGTGATCCCTTTCCGTGCTGCCTCTTTTCCTTCCCTCTGCTTTTAGTGAAATAAAACCCAAATGAGAATACACAAGCTGTTGTAATTCCTGCACAGGTTTTAGGCTTGCTCAGCAGCTGACTGCACCCCTGAGCCCCGAGGAACGCTGCAGGTGGGGCTGCAGCCAGTTTGCCTCCACCAACAAGAAAAGTTTGTTGGTTTGTGCCATTTTTGGGAAGGCAGGTGGGATTTTAGGGATTTTAACAGCCTGGCCCCATTGGCTGTCTCTAAATGAGAATTAGGTGGTGAATTCATGTTAATGACAGAAAAAGGTTTATTTTATTTGGGGTTTTTCTCTCCTGCACCTCACAGGAGCTATGGGCAATAACCTGAGTGTCCCAGAGGAAGCTGAGGATGACAACACCTGCACAGTGAAGAGTTACCAGGTGAGCAGCCCCCCTCCACCTCCCCTGGCTGCTGCCAGGGCAGTTTTCACCCCTTTGATGTCCTAAAAACTCTGTTTGTTATTTCAGCCTCTCTCGGAGTCTCCTGAAAGTATTACCAATGGATCGGTGGTGTTTGTCCAGACCCCTCCCCTGGCAGTGAACGGTGAAGGTATGGACTGGGACGGGGGGTTGGAAGTGCCCTGGGGGAGGTTTGGCCTGAAGGAACAATAAATATTGCTGCATGGCTTTGCATTAGGGGATGAGCCCATGTTCTAGCTCTGACTTGGAAACGTAGCTCCACAGAAGCTGCAAAGTTTACATACAACAAAAAGAAAAATAAGGAATTATTTCCAACGTTCTCTGCGTGCTGGTTAATATTTCTGGGGACTTTGTTCTGCTCTGGGCCCCAAAAAATGGATTTACAGGGGAGGGGGTTGTGTGGAGCATCAGCAGGCAGGGAGGCTTTGGTGCTGGTCCCTGCCAGGTTTGTGACAAACTCTGCCCAGGCTCTGGGGGATTTCCTGGTGCAATTTGTGTCTCCTGCAAGCCCTGGGGGAATTGTTGCTGCAAGGAACCCAAATTTAGGCTCTTGGAAAGGACAAAATGAAGTAATGGCATCAGGGCAGGGGGATCATGGACTCTTGGAGAGGTTTGGGGTTTCTGGGGGACGCCAGGAAATGTTTTACAAGAAGAGAACAGTTCATGTGTTGGAAAGGGATAAAAAAAAAATCCATTACCTGGCTGTGTATTAACCAGCTCTGCATTTTTAAATATGAATCCATATTTCTGATCTTTTCAGCAGCAATTTCCAACAACTGAAACTGTAGAAATGCCTTCCTGATGATAGAATCCTTATCCATCTGAGCATTTCAATCTTGTTCTCTCTTTTCTGGTCCGTGTTCTTGAGCAGGGGCATTGCTTTGATTTGACATACACTGAGCAGTTATTTATTAATAATTAAATATATAGAGAGAATTTTTCTGTCTTGTTTTTAATTTTAAAATAGTGATTGGCTGGGAAAAGAGAAGCAGAAAGGGGCAGGCATTAAAGCTGCAGTGAAGTTGTTAAATTAGAATTACATTTGGCCTCTTCTGCTCCTGAGCTGGGCCTTAGTGAGTATTTAATGTACAGAAACCATCCCTGCTCTCATTTTGGAGGTTGCAGCCCTTCCTGAAGAGAGCACAGTCCATCTGGAATCTCCAGTGAGATCTTCAGAACCAAATCAAGCTGTTCAACAAAATGCAGCTCCTGAGCTGGAATTCTAGAGAATTTAGACTGAAGCTCAGCAATCCATTCTTTCCCTGCACACTAATTAAATAAACTCAGTCCCTTTTATGGATAAACTGGGTGTAGAACAGTTGATGGGCTGTGAGCAAAGCATTTGTTGAGTGAGTTAATCCCATTATTTCACCAGTTTGGGTGGGGTCAGAGGGAACTGGTTTTGTAGGTGAGCACCCCAGTGAGGACCCTGAGCCCCACTTCCAGTGCTGCCCCCCTCAAAAACCTGCTGAGCATTAAAAAAAATCACATTTCCAAGTGGTTTTTCGAAGTTATCTCCATAAAGTCAAGGGCAGTTGCTCCCATCCACAGGCACGTGGCTCTTTTTGCTTTTCACACCTCCTTAATTCCTCCTTCCATCCCTTGTTGGCTTTGGAGCCTTTCCAAGCAGCAGCACTGCAGTTTCTTCTCTTTTCAGAATAAATAAACCCCAACATTTCCTCTTCCGTTTTATCAGCAAAGAAAATACTTTATAACCCCATGCTGAGAAAAATACTTTATGATTTGTTGTTAAGAGAACCCTCTCAGTCTGTCACAGGCACTTGAAAAATCTAAATTTAGGTAAAAATAATCAAAGCTGGTGTGGGGATGTGCAGATGGTTCTGATAACAGCCCAGAATTTCTGCTCCATGACCCAAATTTCCCAGTGCCATCCCACCAGAAGTCACTTTAAGCAGTTGCCTACCAGCAAAGCCTCTCTCTGTGGGTTTTCTTTTTTTTGGTTTCTTTTTTTTTTTTTTTTTGGTGTAAACCAGCAGAGTTCTGAGGAGGAAATAAAAGCCAGATGATTTTCACTGCCTGAAGACCTAGAAAATACATGTACATTTTATTCCTCATACCTAAAATGAAGCATATGGGACTGCTTTACTTAAATGGATTACCTAATTAATGTAACTGCTAAATCAGCTTAAGTAGCAAGTTGAAAAATTAGATGTTGCTGTGTTGATATTTCTTGTATTTTGACTTTTTTTCCCGTTTGTAAAGCAGTTTAAAATCATTGTGATACCATTGAAATCTCCATGTTTGTGCACAGTAATCAAGATTTTGGAGAAATACAAGTGATGGAAGTTATTACTGTGAAAACATGGTTGTATTTCTAAAATACTGCAATAAATAGTAGTTTTGGGGTGTAAATGAGGATATTGGGGGGAGCCAGAGCTGAAGAAAGGGAACTTTGTTGTACTTTTAGTAATAAAAGCACTCGGTGAGCAACAGGTGAAGGGAGGAAGGTCGAAATTGGAGTTTTATGTCTCTGATTTGCACAGCACAGAGCAGAAATGCAGCAGGAGGACAAACCAGGAGCAATTCCCAATTCCTGGGGGCTTGGGTGGTAATTCCAGGCAGACTGAAACAACGAGCTGCTCCTACAAAAAGTTACAAAGGGATTAAAAAGATTACAAAGGAGAAAGGCTGAGTGAAGATGCAGCTCCTTTGTCCCAGAGGATAAATCCCATTCAGCAAATCCTGATTACAGCAGCTGCTGTGCCTGTAAGGCCTGAAATGTGAAGGATTTTAGGGATGCTTTTAGAGAATGAGCATTCCTATTTTTGCTTCTGGCCCTCTCCTGCTATTTCCATTAATTTCTGGAAATCTGCATGTTTTTTAAAATATTTTTTAAATAACAATGTAAATTAAATTAGTGAAACCAGGTGATTCTTGGAACAAAAAGTGATTTGCATGGAATGGTAGAGCAAGATGGCAAAAAGAATATTGGTGTGTTCCTTCTGGTTTTAAGGAAGGAGTAGTGGTTTATTATTATTATTATTAATAATAATAATAATAATAATAATAATAATAATAATAATAATAATAATAATAATGTAATTTGGATTTGTATTTGCTGCAGAAATTCATTCAGGGCTGTTGTTCCCTGTGCTGCCCTGCACTGCTGGAATTCCTGGTGCCAAATGTTGCCTTGTAGCCCTTAATCATTTCTCCATGGCCATTAAAATATTTTCTTCACAATTATCTGAACACCAGGGGAGAAAAAAAGTGCTGTGTGGCTCTAATTCCATGGCTAAGCAAAATATTTGTTTGTGGCTGGCTTGTACTCAAAAGAGAAGAATGAGATGAGCTTTAAGGTCCCTTCCAAGACAAATCATTCCATATTTCTGTGATATTGCATTAACCATTGATCTTCTCTATTTTTTACTAAGTCAAGGAAAAAATATTGGTCTAATTGCCAAATTCCAGGAGGAAAAAAGTGTTCTTACAGAAGAGGGACTTTGTGTAGCCACAAAATTTCCTTTTTAACTCACCCTGATGAAGGGAAGGGGAAAGAGAGACAGATCTTCTGGAGTGTGACTGCCTTTTGTTAAAGAGTTGAAAGGCAAGTGCCTGAGCAGTAGTCTGAAATGCAACCTGTAAATTGTGTATTGATTTTCATCTCGGAGCAGCTTTTAATCTCAGGCATAATGAGCAGCTTTGATCTGCTCGAAGTCCTGGCCTAGAATTTGGGTTTTGCTTATCTTTGCGATTCTGCCTCTGGATTGAGGAATAAATCTGAAAAAAAAAAAATGGCACTTGTGTGTCTTTAAAAACAAAAATAAAACACGCTTTTCATCCAAATACTGGAATTTCAAGGATTTCTCCCTCAGTTTGCTGTGGCTGCTGAACCCAGCTCAGTGCTGGTGGGATCTGCTCTGCCTCTGCCTGAGCAGAATTTCCTCAGAGCAGCTGGAGCTCTCTGACACAACACACACCCAGCAGAGCCCATGGCAGTGACATTTTCCAGGGCTTCCATTCCTTCCATGATAATTTGAGATAAAAGCAGCTCCATAGGTTCCTGGGCTGCTGCTTGCTTCGCTGGTTTTCTCAGTGCTGAGCTTATATCCCTATTTTTGAGCCAAAGCCAGTTTTCCTGTGGTTCATTTGTTATCTGTTACATAAAGCAGAAGTTCAGCATCTCTTACAAGTATTTTCCAATGGATGTTGTTTCTCCTTTCTTTAGTTTTTTGATTTTTGCTTCCTTCCCAAGTTTCCAACTATAATTAGAAGTTCTTTTTCAAACATTACTACAGGAGGCTCAGGAAACTACAGCTGATCCTTAGTGGCCCCAGCTGAGTGTCTAAATAGGTGCTGGAGTAGCTGTGATTTGCACTTTTTGCTGTGCCTGTCAGGACATTGAAATTGAAACTGCTGCTGATGAAATATCACAGGAGGATATTGCTGCCCCAGGATTTCTGCCAGTGGAGCTGCTTCCTTACAGGAACAGCAGTAGAAGAAACCAGGAAAAAATAAAATTCATGTATGCCCAGAAAGTGGAAAAGTCATGCCTGGCCAGAGCAGGCTGTGCTGAGGAGCTCTGCCCAAAACACCCAAAAAAGAGGGAGCAAAATGTTCATTATGAATGATCCAAGTTGGGAGGCAGGGTCCTGGCAGCTGTGGAATCTCCAGGCTGGGCCCTGGGCTCTGCTCTGCTGCTGGGTGTGCCCAGGATCCCTGGGTGCTGCCCTTAAAATGAGCACAGGTAACAGCCCAGCATGGAGGTGTGGAAGATGAACCTGTGGCCACGAGTGAAGCTCTGTCTCATCACTAAATCCTGACCTCTGGTTTAATTCAATTTATAATTCTCTGAAAGGTTTGGACAACACAGCTCCAACTGCCAGCTGCAAATGAAAGCAAAAATACCTGAAATTAAACCAGTTTCTTGTGCTTTAGGATGTTACACACTGGATGGTTTTCTAAAAGTCCTTCGGTGTGTTTTGTGCCATTTTTAAAATAGTCCTACTTCTCGAATGCTACATGCTGGATATCCTATTCATCAAAAGAAGGATTATTATGCAGCAGCAATTTTTTGTACTCCAGTTTATTGTGATGTTTTAGTCAAAGGAAAGTGTGATGGAGACAGACACATCAGCCCAGGACCTGCTGATGTTTTTGGGGTTATCCACAATCCCTGGGGAGGTGGGAAGCTTGGGGAAATTTTGCTGTGAAAAGCCAAGGGGTAGCTTTGAAAGCTGGGCTCTAAAATTGTTCTGTTTTCCTAATCTCAAAGAATCTCCCACTTAAGATCTGTGCTGTGTGGAAGATGTGTTTCAATCAGTTTTAGGGTTTTTTTGTATCTGGGGTTTTCTTTCTCTTAAAGGAAAATGTGAAAGGCATAATATTGACTAGACTATTACAATTATAATTTAAAATAATTTCAATTTTACATTGAAACTGACAATTTTCCTGTTCTAATTCAGCAATTCAGTTTGAGCCTGTCAGTTTTCCACAGTTATAATTAAATACATCTAAATTCATCCTTGAAATGTGGTGATGACTGACAGGGAAATCAGATCCATATTCCAGTCCAAGTAGGGAAGAGAAGCTGAAGCTCAGGGGGTGCTGTAAGATTTACCTCTCGACAAGACCCTTTTTTATTGGGGTTTCACACCACATCATCTCTGGTTCTGCCTCCCAGCCACAAAACAGATCCAAGCAAGATTATTTTTCTTTTGTCTCTTGTTTCTTTTGTCTTGTGTAAAGCAGGAGCTGCCTTTTCCTGCCTGTGAATCCCATACCAGGGATTTTCACCTCAACTATCCTATCAAAGCACCATTGTTTTATGAAATCATAAAATATACTTTTAAATCAAAAGGGTTTTTGCATCTGAGGTGTAATGGTCCCATGTGTACACCTGGAATGATCAGCGTGATTTTTGGGGGAGGAAATGTGATTCTGAGCCACAGTTTGTGAGAGAAGAAATGTAAAGAGAAATGCAAGGATATGAAACCTGTGATTTATCAGTATTCAAATCAGGCTCAAAATAACCCACAGGCAGAGGAGAAGTGCAGGTAGGAGCTGCAGTGAGGAGAGCAGGCAGCAGGAAATGAGAGCTTCCTTTTGTTTCTTTAGGTTTGACAGAGGAGCAGGTGATATATTGATATAGAACTGCCTTGAGATTTATTGGATTTTGGGGTTTTTTTTTGCATATCACTGATTTTAATTTGCTGGCCACTGGGCTGGGTAGTGGCAAACAGGGCTGGAATCTGACTTTGATGCTGCAAAGAGCTTGTAAATTCACACTGATTTCAGTGAGGGCAGGGGGCAGAAATCAGCTCTGGGAGTTGAGCAGAGGGTAAAATTTACACTGATTTCAGTGAGGGGTGGCAAAAATCGGCTCTGGGGGCTGAGCAGAGGGTAAAATTCACACTGATTCAAAGAGGAGTAGCAGAAATCTTCACTGGGTGTTGAGCAGAGGGTAGAATTTACACTGATTCAGTGAGGGGTGGCAAAAATCAGCTCTGGGGGATAAGGAGAAGGTAAAATTCGCACTGATTTCAGAGAGGGGTGGCAGAAATCAGCTTTGGGGGATGACCAGAGGGTAAAACTCACACTGATTTCAGGGAGGGGGATGAATAGAGGGTAAAACTTGCACTGATTTCAGTGAGGGGGATGAACAGAGGGTAAAACTTGCACTGATTTCAGTGAGGGGAGGCAGCAATCAGCTCTGAGGGATGAGCAGAGAGTAAAATTCGCACAGATTCAGTGAGAGGTGTCAGAAATCAGCTCTGGGGAATGAACAGAGGGTAAAACTCGCACTGATTTCAGTGAGGGGGATGAACAGAGGATAAAACTCGCACTGATTTCAGCTCTGGAGAATGACCAGAGGATAAAACTCGCACTGATTTCAGTGAGGGGTGGCAGCAATGGGCTCTGGGGGCTGAGCAGCAGCACCGGGGTCTCCAGCGTGCTCTGCAGCCCTCAGCCCCAGCACGAGCAGCTACCCGTGCCCGCGGGTGATTCCCTCTCTCCCTGTGTTGCAGGGGATGCCAGGGTGGCTGCAGGCCGGCAGAGCCCGGTGCCCGTGGGTGATTCCCTCTCTCCCTGTGTTGCAGCAGCTGCAGCCCAGCAGAACGCAGTGCCTGTGGGTGATTCCCTCTCTCTGTGTGTTGCAGCAGCTGCAGGCCAGCAGAACGCAGTGCCTGTGGGTGATTCCCTCTCTCTGTGTGTTGCAGCAGCTGCAGCCCAGCAGAACGCAGTGCCTGTGGGTGATTCCCTCTCTCTGTGTGTTGCAGCAGCTGCAGGCTGGCACAGCACAGTGCCTGTGGGTGATTCCCTCATTCCCTGTGTTGCAGCAGCTGCAGGCTGGCACAGCACAGTTCCTGTGGGTGATTCCCTCTCTCCCTGTGTTGCAGCAGCTGCAGGCCAGCAGAACGCAGTTCCTGTGGGTGATTCCCTCTCTCCCTGTGTTGCAGCAGCTGCAGGCCAGCAGAACGCAGTTCCTGTGGGTGATTCCCTCTCTCCCTGTGTTGCAGCAGCTGCAGGCCAGCAGAACGCAGCTCCTGTGGGTGATTCCCTCTCTCTGTGTTGCAGGGGATGCCAGGGTGGCTGCAGGCCGGCAGAGCACAGTGCCCATGGGTGATTCTCTCTCTCCCTGTGTTGCAGCAGCTGCAGGCCAGCAGAGCACAGTGCCTGTGGGTGATTCCCTCTCTCCCTGTGTTGCAGCAGCTGCAGGCCAGCAGAACACATCCGTGCCCCCGGCAGAGCCCGGCCCCGGTGCCCGGGCGGGCGGGCAGAGCGTTGGGAGCGCTGCCAGCAGAGCCCTGCCGGCTGCCAGGCTCCGCTCCCCGCCGTTCTTCCCCTGGGCTGTGCCAGGGCGTGCTGAGGAGCCAGCGGTGCCACCAGCCCCCCGAGAGGCCGCCCTCGATGCCACTCCGCTGAACGAAGCCCCGAGCGAGGGCACAGAGGTGCCCGGGGCGGCTGTGCCCCACGAGGGAACCATCGAGGGAACCCATCCCAAGCTGGGCCAGGACGCCGAGCTCGCGGGGACGCCTGAGGGACACGATGTGGCCGCCCCAAAGGGCAGGCAAGTGACGCTCCTCGACAGGATCTTCAGGCTGGAGAAGGGCAAGGGAAGGACACAAAGTGACCCCCAGGAGGGAAGGCAGGGCTTGGACGTTCCCGACGGGAGCATCGCGGCCGGTGCGCCCAACAGGGTCCTGCTGGGCAAGGCAAGTGCTTCCATAAAATAGCCTTAATTTCGTTTTTGCTGGTGAAACCTATTGGGATTGTTGGCAGAGTGGGATGACTCTGCGTGGGGTGGGAATGAACCAGAGCTGCCCTTAAAATGAGCACAGGTAACAGCCCAGGATGGAGGTGAGAATCAACCAGTGTTGCCCTTAAAATGAGCACAGGTAACAGCCCAGGATGGAGGTGGGAATGAAACAGTGTTGCCCTTAAAATGAACACAGGTAACAGCCCAGGATGGAAGTGGGAATGAGCTAGTGTTGCCCTTAAAATGACCGCAGGTAACAGCCCAGGATGGAGGTGGGAATCAACCAGTGTTGCCCTTAAAATGAGCACAGGTAACACCCCGGGATGGAGGTGTGGAAGATGAACCTGTGGCCATGAGTGAAGTTCTGTCTCATCACTAAATCCTGCCCTCCAGTTTAATTCAGTTTATAATTTTCTGAAAGTTCGGGACAACACAGCTCCAACTGTTGCCAGCTGCAAATGAAAGCAAAAATACCTGAAACTAAACCAGTCTCTTGTTTAGGATGTTGGCATTGGATGGTTTTCTAAAAGTTCTTTGGTGTGTTTTGTGCCATTTTAAAAATAATCCTGCTTCTTGAGTGATAGATGCTGGATACCCTATTCATCAAAAGACAGAATATTATGCAGCAGTGATTTTTTGTACTCCAGCTTATTGTGATGTTTTAGTCAAGGAAAAGTTGTTCATTAGAAATGATTTTACAGGATCAAAATGTGATATAAGAAACTGTGAATCTTAACTGAAAAAGCACACTGCTCAAAGGAGCTGAAAGTTAATACGAGTTTAGATTTTACACTTCTGCCAGATCTGATGTCAGCAAAGGTGTAATTCTCAGGTAACTAACAACAGAAAAAGCCCATCCTCTGAAAGGGAATAATGGTGTAAATCTGAGTTCTGCTGGAGAAGTGGAGTGCAGGAATTGGTGATTGAAATTGGTGATTGAAACCCTGTCTAATGTCAGGAACAGGAGGGAAAATCCAATGTGTAATTACCACTTTAGGAATTGCTTTTATCAGTCAGTTCAGGCTTACAAATAAGATGGTGAGCACTGATGCTTTGGGTAGTGTTGAGCTTAACTCATGGGATACTCACTGCTTACACTGCCAGCAATGCAAGTTGCCCCAAAATTCTTTTCTTTTTAATCTTTGTCTTCCCTATTGTAGACCTCAAATCTGAAGATCACATTTCTTGTATAAATTTACACATTATAATACTTTTCTGAGGGTTCATTTTTAAGAGGAGCAGTCGCATTTTTCACCCCTGCCCCTCAGGAGTGCTCCCATCGCTGGTGTTTCAGGCAGCTCGGGATGCACATTTAGAGAATCCATAAAAGCATTCAGCACCTAAGCAGAACAGGGTGGATCATTTGAAATGAATCCTCTGTTCAGGGCACACTGGCACTTCTGTGTTCAGCCTCTTAGAATGAAGCTTTTCAACACCCCGAATTCCTGCAGATATTTTTGACTGTCACACACAATTCTGTGGCTTGCAGGAATTGTCTCTTTTCCCACCAAAATGCCAAATTCTCATTTCCTATTTTGCTGTCACTGCAATGACACTGCTTTCATTTACAGAGTGGGGAAGGTCACAGCTGCTGCTGCTGAAGGAATGCTGTGAAAATCCAAGGAAATGACACTTTGGAGCAGTTTTAACTAAAATTCAGAGTTAAACATTGCTGGGAGCAAACAATCCTCTTGAAAGCTCAGGTGAAGCAGAGCATGATCAGGGACAGGAGGGACTCAAAATCATTCTCCCAGTTCAAACAGGGAAGCACTGCTCATCCAGATCAAGCTTTATTATATCAATAACACCTGGATTTCATATTAATTCCTACTGATTGGCAGATCTGGCCCTCGTACCCAACCCCATCCTGGAGGTGCCTGCTGGGAATAACCTGGAAATGCCAGGCACTGCTGAGCTGTGGGTGGTGCTGGGTCTGGCTGGGAGTGGCTGCAGGATCCCAGCAGCATTTGGGAACCCAGGAACACTCCTGAGGACAGGTCTGGTTCTCAAAAATGCCTCTGCACCTCCCAGGTGTGTGATTAAAGCTGCACCATGGACATCTTTGAGGAATCGCAAACTTGGGGTTCACTGTGTAAAGAAATGGCAGGTCTGGATCACAGGGAGAGGAATTTTAAACTTCTGTTTGAATTTTTGGGCTATAATTTCATCTTTGGTTCTTTCAGATATGAAAAGAAGGGGCAGAGAGGAGTTAAGCACCTTTTCTGGGGAAAACACTGCAGCTAAACATTGCAACGTGTTGCCAAATTTAACTCAATCCCTAAAACAAAGGCTGTGGCTCTGCCTTGCAGCACAGTTGCCTTCTGTTCCCTCTGAAGTTCCAATTCTCCTGCAGGATGAGAGAATGACCAAGCCTAATTTAATTACTGTTCCTGTACTAACTACAAACTGTTACCAAATAATCATACTAAAAATCAAGATACTGCAGCCAACAGCTCCTCTTTTTTCTCTCTCTCTCTCTTTTTTCTTTGTGGATTATGACTTGTAGTATCTGTAAATGCTAAAAGCAAAGTTTCCCTGCACTGAGTGCCAAGACAAAACAAACAGCGTTGCTGGTGAGTAAGAGAGAGGCTCCACAGTTGTAGCTTAAGAGCTGCACAAACATTCTGTGTTTGCTGAGCCACTCTTTATTTTTGTGGTCTACAAAACTACATTCAGAGCACAGCATAATTAAAACAAGGGCAGAATTCATGAATTCATGAAGCATTTACTATGTAAGCCAAAGAAAAGATAAATTATATGCCTGAAATGTTTCACTGAGCCATGATTCATGCAAACAAAAGTGCTGGCAGGAATACATTCTTTTGATATGTTTGGGGTTTTTTTTTTCCTGATGACTGAACTAAAACTACAGTACATTTAAGGTGTTTATTACCCCCAAATTTAGCTTCTCAAAGACACGAATTGAACATTGACATAGCGTCTATTAACTCCTAATACTGATCTTCTGTTATTCCTGGGGTTTCTTTCATTATTTACCCCCAGGGCTTTGAGCAGGGAGCTGCCACAGAGGCTTTTGTGGGGATTTTGTGGCTCTGCAGCCGTGATCCTGCGGGGCTGTGTGTTCTCTGTGCTGATGGCCCCAGCCTGTGCTCTTCCTGCAGGAATATTCCCATGGGAGCACAGGATGGATCACAGCCCCTCTCCCCGGCCACACTGGAGTGATTCTCTGTAGACAAGAGCAGCCTCAGCTTGGGAATCACAGAGAGGGATTCTCAAGCAGGGCAGGGTCATTTTTAGTGGGATAAATTAGAATAAAAGCTTTTTAAACAACCTTTCACTGTGCTGGGTGATTAAAATACCACAATAATTGTATAATATGGATTTCTCTATGTCACCAGTGGGAGGAATAGACTTTAAATGCTTTAAAACTTCAGAGGGATCAGGAGAGCTGGCAGAGGGATCAGCCCAGGGTGTGGGGTGGGCAGTGCCAGCAGAACACAGGGAGTTCAAATGGGCACATCAAATGGGGCACATCTGAGCTGTGAGCTTGGACTTCAGGGATTTTGGGATGGCCCCAACCCTCAGGGTCTGCTGTGGCTTTCTCTTCAGTGTGACTTTGTCAGGGAGATGTCCTGGATCAGCCAGAGGTGCTGGAAACAGCTCTGTGCAGCTCCCTCCTGAAATGTATCCCAAGGCCAGGGCTTGGGCTTGTCTATAATTCCTAAAAGTTATTAAATCTGTTGGTTTTTTTTTCTTGATAGCATCCAGCTCTAAAGAGCTTGATGGCACCAAGCACTTGGGCTGTGCAGCTGGGTTTGTTTAGCAGCACATCAGCCTCCTCCTCCTCCTCCTCCTCCTCCTCCTCCTCCTCCTCCTCCTCCTCCTCCTCCTCCTCCTCCTCCTCCTGGCCTCAGTTGTCCCTGGAGCACGTGGAGCAGAGCCAGCATTTTCCATGGCACCAGAGCTCTGTGTGTGCCACCCTGGGCTGGCGTGGCCACGCGTGTCCTGCATGGCACAGATTGTTCCTGGGGCCAGCCTGGGGCTGGCAGCTGCACAGAGTGCTGTGTGAGACCCTGCAGGGACCTGCTGAGCGTTCCAGCAGGGCTCTGCTGCTGCCTGGGCCAAGCTGGGTGGGTGGGGAAGGACACACAGGTCCCTTCTGGCATTTCAGTGGCTGCTTTAACTCCCTGTGTTCTGCTGGCACTGCCCACCCCACACCCTGGGGTGATCTCTCTGCCAGCTCTCCTGATCCCTCTGAAGTTTTAAAGCACTTAAAGTCTATTCCTTCCACTGGTGACATAGAGAAATCCATATTATACAATTATTGTGGTATTTTAATCACCCAGCACAGGGAAAAGTTCTTTAAAATGCTTTTATTCTAATTTTTCCCACTAAAAAAAGCACTGAGCTATAATGGGCTGGTTAGGGAAAAATACCTTTGATGTCACTTAGGCACCCTTTGATGTCACTCTCACCTGCACAACAATTTTCTTCAGCTTTCCTGTGCCTGCTCAAGGCAAAGGTGGCCAAAATGAAAGGTAAATTCAGTATGAAAGGTGCCAAACTCTCTAAAACTGGTTCAAGAAGTGGTTTTTTAGAACCTGACCCTTCCCCAGGTGTCTAAACAGAAAAGAAGTACCTTAATATTACCTACTTGTGAGTGCTTGAGCACTGGAAAACCTTTTGGGGCTCTGGGAATTGTAATTCCATGAAGAGAAGAGGCAGCTCCATCTGGCTAAGAGGAATTTCTTTGATTTGTTGCCTTTTTCCTTCTTTTAATGTGTGTCACGTTTGTGTTTGATAGATAAAAATGATTCCTGACGTGGCAAAATAGAAAACCAGAAACCAACTTTGCATGGTGCCCTCAGACACGGAACTGGCAGGGCCAAAACCTCAGCATTTGCTCCCATTTTTCACAAGTTCAGCCTTGAAAAGAGAAAAGTGGAGTCTGGGGCTCGCTCTGGGCTTGTTGTGGCTGAGAACAACGTCCCCAAAAGCAGCAGCAGCGCTGAATGTCTGGGGAGAGAGGGGCAGCAGAGGGATAAATGCTGGATTGTTCTGCCCGTGGGCTGGCCAGGAATGGTTGGAATTGCTGTTGTGACTCCCAGCAAGTCACAAAAGCCACTTCTGCATTCCACTGGGAATCAGGCAAGCTGGCACCCAGCAATCTGTGCCCCCTTTTTATTTTTTAGGAGCTAGATGAGTGCAGGCAGAAGGAGCTCGGGCAGGACTCTGCAGGTGACCAGAGCCCGGCTGCTGCAGCACCTGCGAGGGCAGAGGTGGAGCAGGACAGTGCCCAGGCAGCTGCAGGACAGGGCTCAGTCATGAGCTTCCTCAGGACACTGGTGAGTTCTCCCTTTCCTTTCCATCTCCTGGGGTTTCAGGCTTCCAAAAATCCCCCGTGGGATTGGATAATTGGGATAAATCGTGTAAAAATGGAGAAATAAATGTAAAATGTTCTCTGTCCTGGGGGGGTGAGGAGGGGTGTGGGGGGGACAGTGAAATGATCAAGTGAGTGCCACCTGCTCTGCAAACTTCCACCTCGACACAGATACAGATAAAAATACAGATCTGTATCTACAGATACTTCTAAAGATACAGATTTTAACTGCCTCAAAGACTTTCTGCCTGATATTCCTTTTGTACCACCTCTAAAAATTAATTTTTATTAACTGATTATAAGCTTGAACAGTAAATATTCCATCTAGGCCTTTTTCATCATAGCCATTACATTGTTCTCAAGGAATATTTACGTTATCAATTTTCCCACTTGAGGGAAGCAATATTTGTATTTTCCCTTTGTGCAAATAAAACCTGCTGATTTCAAACTTATCTTTTCCATCCTTTGAAAGGCTGGGTTGGGTGATTGTTTCTTCTCAAATTCTTTTAAGGTCTCCTCAAGCAAAGCTGAAGCCAAAAGTGATTCTGAAGATAAGGTAGGCAATTCCTTGCTCACTGGTTGTTGGGTGTTTTTCACACAGGGATTTCCTCTTCATTTTGTCGGGTTTTTTCCCAACCGATGTCATCATTTGAAGTAATTTCAAATATTTTTTCCCCTGGATAAATTGAAAAGGAAAAGACTAAACAGTGCAATTCCTAATACTGTCTGTTACAATCAAAATCTGTTGTGTTTTCTGCAAGCTTGGTGTTGATTGGTGACACTTTTGGTTGCTTCTCTGACTTGTCCTTGATGTAAAATTGCAGTTGAGTCCACAAAAAAATTACGTTTGCTCGTAGAACAGTTTTCCTTGTGACTTGAAAGAAATTTTATTAAGAAACAAGGAATAAAACCCTAAAAACTGAAGTGTTTTTCCCATGCATATATTAGCCAAAATCACAACATTTTTGAGTTTTCTCCTATTTTTTCATTCTTTTGTCCTATTCAGTGTTCAGTCTTTGCAGCAAGCTTGGTGAGTACAAGGGGGATTTCACTCTGAATAACTCTAAAAATGATTCTCAATAATTCTGAATAACTCTGAAAATCATCAAATAGGGTGAAGCTTTTCCAAGCAATGCAGAAAATGCAGTTTTTAAAGTGCCCTGGCTCAGGGAGACTGGCAGCTCTTCCCAGAGGTGTTGAACAATCTGGTTTGGATGGAAACAGCCCCATTTCCTTCCTGCCCCTGTGCCAGGTGACTGCTGGTGCTGCTGTCATTTGGGCACGAATATTCTGGGTGGGTTTGGTTTGCTGGCACACCTGGCAGGGCAAACAAACCCAGGTGACTTGCAGGATGTGCAAACTCTTACAGGAGATTAAGTGGGAGTTCTCTTTTACTGGGAATTCCTTTATCTGATACGGCATTTGTACTTTAATCAAGGGGAAATATGTCGAGGAGGGTAATTTATCAGCTCCCAGGTTGAAAAGCTGCAGATTCTTTGGCTGATAGGAAATAATGGTTTGGGTTTTTTGTCCCCAGCAAACAACTGAAGTGTGTTAAAAGTAAAGCTTTGCTAAATGAGGTTTTTCCAAGTGCTGTGGGGCTGTTGGGTGCCTGCTGTGCCTGGGCTGAGATTTGGATCATTTGTCCTTGGTGCCCAGCTGGAGCAGGAATTGTTTTGTCTCCCTGCTCTGTGCAGAGCTCACCATCCCTCATGTGAAACTCATAACTACACACTAAAGCAGCACAGAATGTGAAAAGTAGAAAAGCCAAAACCTGAGGCATCTTTGGGACCAGCTGAGCCCCCCAGGAATGCACTCAGGCAGTGCCTGGAGCATCAGAAGGCATCTTCCTGCTTTAAGGCCTAGGACCTTGAACAATTAATTAATTAATTAATTTCAAGGACATTAATGCAAGTTTGAAATATTTTAGGCAGTGTATGTCATGAATATTCACGCTGCCCTTTTCCTAAATAATGCATTATATAAAACGTTTTAAAGTCCCTATTATGCTGCAATAAAAAGACTGACAGTTCCTCCAAAGATTTATATATTTCCCTGTTTTAAAATTATAAATCCTAAACTGCCTCTTCATGACTTGAAAAGGCAGATGTTTGTGGGGTTTAGGTTTCAGTTTAGTGGAGAATTTAGAGGGAAAGTTGTGCTTTAATTTGGAATCAAGTGGATTGCCTTAGTTTTTTTGTGGTTTTTTTTTTTTGCTGCTTGTGTGAAAGAAACTCTGAGGAGAGCTGAGAAATCACTCAGGAAAAAACCCCACAATTTGTCCAGGGCTAAGAGGGAATATTTTCCTTTAATCCCACGTGTGTGAGCGATGGAATAATGTCTTTGATAAAGCAAATACCTGCAGCAAACACTCACCTGCACCTGCTGTTGTGCACAAGGGCTCCAGGGCGGAGAAGGGCCCTGGGGGACAGCCTGGCCCGAAGGCAGCGGCAGAATCCCCCTCCAAAGGAGCCAAGAAAAAGAAGGCAGAGAGCCCCAAAAAGCTGGGCCACAGCACCTTTAGCAAACTCTTTAGGCACAAGGTTGGTATGGAGCTCCAGGAGCAGCAGAACCCTGAGAAATCACAGCTGGCACAGAGAGAGTTCTTTCCCAACATCTGGCCAGATGTGCAGCGCTCTGGAAGTCTCTGGGAGAGCATTTCTGTGCCAGGGGATGGGAACCATCCTGAGCTGCACCTTCCTCTCGTTGGGCCCTCTGTGAGCTCAGGGTTCTGCAGCAATTCCTGGAAAAATTCCTATAAAATAACAATTCCTATAACAATTCCTGGAACAATTCCTGCCAGTTACTAACACAGACTAAACACCCCCATGCCACTAAAAACCAAAATCATAGGTGCTGACAAACAATGAATTGTGCAGAGGTGAACAAAGCCTGAAACCAGAGAGGTTTTGGAGCTCAACCCAGACACAGTTCAGGTTTTATGTCATTAATGTGCACCAGACTTGGCTAAAATTGGCATTTTGGGGCATCCGATACAGCACAGAGGAGGCTGGAACATGGAATTTCTTGCAGAAATAGGGATTTCTCCCTGCAACCAAGAAAACTAATTTATTTTAGTCATGCTTTAGTTGGGAGTAGAAAAAAAATCTGGGTTTGATGGGTACTTTAAAGAGCTTAAAATTACAGTCAAGCAAATGGCTGTTTCAGAGGACATGAGCTTTTATATTAAAAACCAGAAATCAGCAACAACTTTGGGTCTCAAGCTCTGCATTTGGGGATTTCTGCACTCTCTGAAGATAAGCACAGCAGAGAATTGCAGCTTTTTAGGCCAGAGAATGCAGAAGCAGAGACCCTTCCAGTGGGGGAGGAACATAATTAATATTTAATTCTCCCTCCAGACACCCATGTGGAATTTCTGGTGAGTAGGGGGCTTTATAATCATGGGCATAGGCCATCCTTTAATGCATTTTAAAACCAAAAATGTTCTTTCCACTATCTCATTTCTGAGAAAAAAAAAAGTCATCTGCATATTACTGAAGGAATAATAATATTTCAAATTAATTCAAGTGTGCAGTTCTTGCCAAAACTGTAAATTGGAGATCTCAGCTTCATTTCTTTATAAAATTAAAATATTATTTACTTGTTCATAATGAATTAAGGCTTCCTGGTAAAAACCAAACCTGGCTGGCATTTTTAAAGATTCAGTTCCAATAATTAATCTTGCAATAAATTGTACTGAGAAAATTCCCTGGAATATTTAATGGAAGTTTAAAGAGTTTTTGTCTGGAATGACAACACTTATCTTGAAGGAATGCAAGAGCAGAAAGTTTTCACACCAGTAAAATCTTATAAAATATCACTTTTATAATAGTTTTTCTTGTTTCTATGTTTATTTTGACAATTTTCTTTCCACATCCAAAATACAGAAGCAGGAGCTGAGATATCATTTATGACCTATTAGGAATCGAGGAGAGGGATTAAAATGGTGCCAATAATTTACTTGTAAGGCTGATCAAAAGTGGGAATTCAACTCAGAGCAGGGATGTGACAGGCAGGCCCTGGAGTTACCACTTCTAGTAAGAAGAAAATTAAAATATAGTTTATATCTTTAAATTCTCTATGCTTTCTATGCTGTATGAATTGGATGAATAGATAACCAATTCCTTTATTTGAAATGATGATTTAAATAGATAAATTTTGTTTAAACACTTCACTGTCTTTTCTGACAGGGCTTTCTGTGAATGTCCAAACTAATCCAGCTTAGATTGGTTGTGGGTTAACAGCAGCATTGTTTTTCAGGCTCCTGTGTTACAAAATCCTAACTCTAAACTTGTGATGCTCTTCCCATCCATGCATCTTTGCCCTTCATTCCATGCTAATTTTGCATATAACTGTGCTGATTGATGGAATTTTCCCTTGGAAGGGAAGGGTGAATCCCCCACTTTCAGCACTAATGCTGAAGGCAGCTGTGGCATCCTCCCCCTCTGGATGTTGTTTGTCAGAGCTGACCCCCCAAAAAAAGTTCTTGGCTCCTGCAAAATATCTCACCTGCCCTGCAAAACATCTCACCTGTTCTGTGGAGAACTTCCCAAAGTCTGCCCAGGCTGCTGGGGCCTGGCCCCGGGATGGGTTTTTGTGCAGCTCAGGTCATTCTTCAGTGTGAGCTCTGCTGCTGAGGGGTAAGAGATGCAGGTAACACCCTTGGCCAAGGAGGGATTTATCCAGCTCCTCCTGGGTTTGTGGATTCTGCTGAAATCAGGAGCCCCATCACTGAATGTGTGTACTAAAGGAAATCCCACCTCGTGCCCAAAAATACTGGGCTGGGTGGGATCAGCCTCCAGCACCTGCAGAGCTGCTCTTTGCAGAGCCAGGGCTGCTCCATCCCTGGGTTTCCAGGATTTCTTGTTTTTCCTTGGATCCCAGAAATCCAAGCCTCCTGCAGGAAGGTGATGGGAGCACATCCCTGATGATGGTGTGGGATTCCCATGGAGAACACCCAGCTCTGTGTCTGTGAGCACTGGAACTGCAGACACAGCAAAATCTGTAATACCTTAAAATTCTCTGTAATGATTTACCTGCGCTGAATGGAAATATGGGAATACATATATAAACATACATCTTTTTAAAGAACAAGTTGAGAACTACAAGCACAAAGAATGCACCAGGCTGGTGCAGGTACAAGGATGGGACCTGGCATTCCCTCCAGCATCCCTCCAGATTCTTCCAGGGATCAGTTTCCATGGCTGCAGGAGCCAGGACTTGCACCCACAACCACTAAAAATAAAATAATTAGTGACACAGACAATTGCTGGCCTGTGGAACTGCAGTGCTGCCGTTGCCTCAGACAGACTCATCTTTGTCTTTTGTTTCCCTTCAGGCTGCAAAAGAAACCCAGCAGACAACCAACACCAAAGTGAGTAGGAGGGGTTGAATTATCTGTGCAACGCAGGAGAAGGGGAATTCTCGCTGTCATGTTCAGCTTTTAGGTGTTTTAGGTTTTTTATCTGTGTTCTGGGTTTGCTGTGTCTGCAGCAGGGGTGGAAGGGATGGATGGAAGGGCAGGGTGCTGTTGTTGTTGGACATGAAATGAGTACATAGAAGTTTGGTAAGTTCAAAAGATAAAAAGAGTGCATTTTATTTGAACATGTTAGAGATAAACAGAATAAACAACCTTGAAACCAGCACAGACGAATTATGGCTTCTTTGGCAGTGGGGCAGAAAGACAGAGACTTTTACAATCTTGGGATCATCAATACCACAGATTCCAACACTCACCTGCCCCAGGTGATGGCTGAGCGTGTGGATTTGTTCCTCACAATATCCATGTCCTTTCATTCCCAGATTCCTGAGCAGCCTCCTGTCACCTGTGTGAAAGCAGACAGAAATGTCCCTCCCTCCCAAGAGCCGCCGGCCAAGCAGAACCCCAAAGCTCCGGAGCCCCCGGCCCCTCCACAGGGAGTGACCACTGACCCCCCCCGGGAGGCCACCAAGGACAAGGACAAGGGCTCGGCCACTCCCCTGCCCCTGAGCAAGCTCTTCTGGAAAAAGGTACTGGAGCTGGGAGCGGGCAGCTGTTATAAATGAAAGTGTGTCCAGCCAAATTAAAATGAAAAAATAAAATATTTATTTTGCAATCAAAATAAATATTCACTGCTGTTAGCTGATAATGGTGGGTTTGATTTCTCCTACATCACCCTCAGCTCTTTATATCAGGGAATAGAAAGGTTTTTAGGGAATTCTCTACCACTCCAAGCAGATTTTGTTGCGTCCAAAAATATTAAGGGCTGGCGAAAGCATTTACAGAAATGCACTGAGTTCAATAGCCTGGGAAATCTGAACTTTGTCAGAGGAGCTCCTTTCTGCTTGGTTAGAACTTCTTGGGTCTGGGATCATGCTGAGACCAAATATTTTTTGCAGAAATTCCCTCCTGAAAACTGCAGTAGAAAACTGAATTTGGTCCTAAGAATTTACAAAAAACCAGCCTCTGTCTGTTTGAGCATTGACTCCTTTACCTGTAAAAGGCTGCTGTGGCTTTACTGAGTTTTCTTGGATGAGAATAATATTTTATATTTCCTTTGGTGAAAGACCCTGGTGACCCAGTCAGCTTGAAACTAAATAAAATGATCAGAGATGTACAAAAAACCAAAAGGCAACAGGTTGGCCTCAAACTCAGCTTGGTTTGAAGACTCTGTGGGGTGTTCTGCAGTGAATTTCTCTTTTTCTGGCACATTTAATGCACTGTCCTTTTGCCAGGACAGAGAATCCAGGCTCAGATAGGTGGAGAATTCAGAGTCAGGGGTAGCTTTGCTTTTGAAGTCACAAACTGCAACCACAACACTCAATAGATGCAGGATTCAGCTCCAGCTTCTCTTTCCAGGCACTCTCTTAAATATCCATCTTCTGATGAGCTTTCACTTCAAAGTGCAGCTAATGAAGTGCCTGTCAACACGTGGCAGTTAATGCTGCTGCTCTGCCTGCAGATGAATAAATATGGAAAGGCAAAATGAAAAATTCCTTATTCAGCTTCTCAGCTGGGTGCCACTTTGTATTTGCCCCATTTCCTGATCAGTCTTCACCAGAATTTTCAGAACTGCTACTCAAATATTTGCTGTGCCAGCATTTTTCTTTTTTCTTTTTTTTCTTTCAGAAGGAATACTAATAGGGAATTACAGTGGGTAATTTCCAATATTTGTGTTGGAAAGCTGCTTTCAAGGCCTCGCAGATATCTGATCAGGGCAGGGAAACATGATGCTTCACATTTATCTGATCAAAGCAGGCCAGGCCAGGGTGGACGGTGATCAAGGCAGCATTATTTACACTGCTCTGGGATCTGCCTTTAAAAGCAGATGTGTTTGCTTAAAAAACTTGAATTTTAAGCAACTCTTGCCATGCAACTGCAGGAAAATCATGCTCTTCTACTGATGTGTAAACAGCAAAATGGTTAATTACTGGGTGAAGCAGAACATGGAATCCTAGAATGGTTTGGGTTGCAGGGACCTTAAAATGGCCCATCCAGTGCCACCCTGCCATGGCAGGGACACCTCCCACTGTCCCAGGCAGCTCCCAGCCCGTGTTCAGCCTGGTCTGGGCACTGCCAGGGACCCTGGGCAGCCACAACCAATCTGGGAAACTGTGTCAGGGCCTCAGCATCCTCACAGGGAGGGATTTCCTCTCTATATCCAGCCTGAATTTCCCTTCTTGCAGTGTGAAGCCATTCTCCCTTGTCCTGAAGAAGAATTTCCTGAAGAAATGTGCAAAAAATCCCAGATTTTTGAAACAACTCAATCCCTGAATAGCTGACTAACCCTAATTTAACTGGGTTGCAGGCTGGAATTTGGTCCCAGGGTGATTTTGTTGGTTTTGCCACCAATTCCAGTGCAGAGCCAGAGCTGCAGAGACAAAACTCCTTTGGGGTTCAGCAGAGTGATCCCAACCTGCCCCCTTGGAGTGATGAGATCCCAGGAGCTGAGCTCTGCTTTACTGAGCCACTGCTTCCACTCTGCTCTGAATCATTTCCTTCCAGCAAATAAGTGGGGAATTGATGATATGGATGTGTGAATAGGCAGAGATCCAGAGTAAAATTATTATAGATTGATTATCTCAAAGCTGTGCATAAATATAAATTAAATCTACAATTCCATGGGTAAGTGGGATGTGCTGCAGCCTTCTCAGGCAGGAGGGATAAGGAATATTTATTCCCTCATCATTCTTCTCCCTGTTGCCCTACCCACAAAATGTTGTTTCTTCCACAAAAGAGGAGTCAGGAACAAAGCAAAATCTCTCCTGCTGCTGTAGGAGTCCATGGTGAGTCCCCTTCCTGAATGAGGAATTCACTGCAACTTAAAAATATGACAGAACTAAAAGGTGTGATGGAATACTGAGTAAATACATTGGATGGCTTCTGCATGAAAAACTAAATAAAGTGGGATTTTATTTGCTTAGAAAGAGAGATGACAACAGCACACAGAAAGACTGCTGTAAAGAGGAACAGGAAATATTGTTCACAACAAAAGTGGCAGAGTCCAAGTGAAAGAATGTGGTAACAAAGAAGAATAAAGAAGTGACAGGACAGGGGGGATGGCTTCAAACTGGCACAGAGGAGGTTTAGATGGGATATTGGGCAGGAATTGTTCCCTGGGAGGGAGGTGAGGTCCTGACAGAGATTCCCAGAGGAGCTGTGGCTGCCCCATCCCTGGAAATATCCAAAGCCAGGTTTCAGCAATTAATAGTGTCCATAGTGTGTTTCAAATAATCTTAATTCTGCTTTTGAGTGCAAATTCCTGAATATGATTTTTCTCATATTTACTGGATTCATTTTAGCCTTATCTCCTCAGGGCACGCATTGCTGCGTGTAATTTCATTTTCATTCTTTTTACATTGTAGTCAAAGCTAGATCCTTGTAATTGGGAACCAGCAACTCAAGAAAGATTATTTCTTTTGTTTGCATAAACTGGTGGGATTTTAACACTTATTTATCTCTTTTCAATTGGGATCAATCAAATTCCTAAAGCAACAGGAAGAGAACAGTGAGACTGAGGATGTTTTTATGCCCTGTTTGATTGTAAAATTTTAAGAAATGAAGCAGCTCCTCATGGATGGAGTGGGAATGTTTCTCCCACTGTATTCCCCCCGCAGAACTCCTCGGAAGAAGCGGAGGCCGTGGGCAGTGAGAGGGCAGAGGCGGCTCCCGAGGCGGTGCCTCCCGACAGGGACGAGAACAAGAGCGCAGAAAGCGCCGAGCCCAAACCGCGAGCGGCGGAGAGCAAAACGCCCAAGGCAAACCTGAGGAAGTTCTTCAAGCTGGTAGGAGCAGCTTTTCCCTTCGGGGCTCAGAGATCTGGGGAGAGGCTTGGGAAACACTTTGCCTTATTCTGGGAGGGTGCAGGGTGCTGAGGGATGCTCAGGGATGAGGGGTGCCTAGAGATGCTCAGGGATGGACAGTGCTCAGGGATGAGGGATGCTGAGGGATGCTCAGGGATGAGGGATGCTCAGGGATGAGGGGTGCTGAGGGATGGACAGTGCTGAGGGATGAGGGGTGCTCAGGGATGAGGGGTGCCTAGAGATGCTCAGGGATGGACAGTGCTCAGGGATGAGGGATGCTCAGGGTTGAGGGATGCTCAGGGATGAAGGGGTGCTCAGGGATGGACAGTGCTGAGGGATGAGGGATGCTGAGGGATGCTGAGGGATGAGGGATGCTGAGGGATGAGGGATGCTCAGGATTGAGGGATGCTCAGGGATGGACAATACTGAGGGATGAAGGGTGCTGAGGGATGCTCAGGGATGAGAGATGCTCAGAGATGAGGGATGCTGAGGGATGAAGGATGCTCAGGGATGCTCGGGGATGAGGGATGCTCAGGGATGCTCAGGGATGGACAATGCTGAGGGATGAGGGATGCTGAGGGATGCTCAGGGATGAGGCGTGCTCAGGGATGGACAATGCTGAGGGATGAGGGATGCTTAGGGATGCTCAGGGATGAGGGGTGCTCAGAGATGGGCGGTGCTCAGGGATGCAAGGCTGGCACTTCTCCCCCGCATCCCCCCGCGCATTCCCCGTCCTGCATCTCCCTCTCGCGGCTCCTCCCGGAACGTCCCGAGGGCTCCGGTGGCCCTTTCCCCGCCGAGGTGGCCCAGGGAGCTCCAGGGGCCGGGACACCGAGGATGCTCCGCTTCACAAACCGCATCCCCCCGTGGGATGCTCCTGGAGCGACCCGTCTCCAAGCCCGCCCCCAAACCCATCTCCCGCTGGCCACGGCTCTGGCAGTCCTCCTGTGCCGTGTCCTGTCCTGCACTGGCTTTGGGAGTTGTATTTTTAGTGGCACGACTTTTTTTTGGCAGTTTATGTAGGTTAGGTAAAGTGGCACGTGAAAGGAAAGGAGGCAGTCACTCCTGCAAAGGTCCATCAGGTGGAAAAGAGAAAAGGCAGAAAGTAGAATCTAATCCTGATTCCCAGAGGAAAATTGTTCCCAAACCATCTGCAGTCCCTGTGCTGCCCTGCTTCCCCACATAAGCAAACTTAGGCAATAAATAGCATTTAGAATTGAGAATAACACTTTTATGTTGTCACAGCTATTGATGACAATGTAGCAGGGTATTGGCTGTCCCCACCCTCCTCATTTAAAGCATCCCAGAAAACTCTGTGCCCAAGTGACCAGAAACAAGGATAGAGGTCAGCAGAGCTCTGGAGAGAAATCCTTGGGATTCTTTCAGCCTCGTCTCATTGGCAGCGAGAGGGAGCTTTGTCTAGACCTCAAGGTCTTTACTCTGTTATTTTTGGTTAAAAATAATAATAACAGTAAAAATACGAGGTGGGTTAGAGAGGTTGGCTAAAGCAGGGTTATTTTTATCTGGGTTTAGGGTGTTTATAGGGGGAAAGGTAACACTGATTGCTGTTAGAGCAGTTTTTTTTTTTCTAAAGGAATTTGAGGACTTGCTAAAACAGAAGTGCAGAGCAGATCTTGTCACAGCCCATCTTCATGAGCTCTGGAGCGGGTTTGTCCCCAGCACAGACACACTGTGCTTCCTCCCCTGCACAGATAAAGCTCCCCGAGCACAAACCCGTGCCAGGCTCAGCAGTGGCACCTTCCAGGCACAGGCATTTCCCCACAAAAGCCATGAATTGTCATGGAGTGGTTGAATTTTCTCTCCTGCTGCTGCCAGGTATTGATTTCTGTGGCTTTGTAGGAAAATCAGGGTTGCAATAACCCCATCTGTGGGATTGGTGCTGTTGTGCTTCACATTACAAACGTAAAGCTGCAGCAAACCACAATTCCGCCTGAGATAAATTTAGAACAAAAGTCACATCCTTTCATTGTTTTCATTGAACTTCTGCAATGAAAAATGACATTTAAATTTGGGTGCCATGAAATCCTGCAGTTTATTTTATGCTTTGCTGCTGAGCTCTCTGGAGAACACACTGAACTCTCCAACACGTTTTTAAACACAAATGCTCATTCCTGTCACCCCTTTTGTAGCACTAATTGTAACTTAAGCTTAACCAAATTCTCAGAAAGCTTGTACTAGTTACTCAGTTTGGTCAAACGGGGGTTTCTCCCTTTTAAATCTAGATGGAAATGGGTTTTTACCTTCAAAAGATATTTCAGAGCCAAGGTTTGCTCTGAGTGACCTTCCAGTGCTGCAGCCTCAGGCTCTGCTTGGATTGTCCTGGCTGGGAAGTATGGGAATCAAGGAGGATTATTATTTAGAGATTTAAGGACTGCAGGAATAAACTGGAAAGCAAAAATCAGGATTAAATAGATGCTGATGACAAAATATGGAAACATCCCTCTGAAGTTGAGTGGGCTTTAATTATTCACAACACATGCACTTAGTAGGGTGGATAAATAGAGAGCAAGTCCCACTTGGGACAGATTTTGTAGGTCTTGTACAGGTCTTGTAGGACAGATTTGGCTCTGGAAAGCAAAGCAAAGCTCTTTCCTAGAAAACTCTGGCAGCAGGTTCTTGTTTAGTGGCTGAAATGATCCCTTCTCAGGCTTTGATGGGAAACCTGACTGGCAAGAGACAATCCCAGAGAACAGAACCTGCAAAACCCACCCTGGAGATTGGGTGTTTCCAAAGTGCCTTCCAGCCTTGGTTCCTGGGAGTTTTCATCCTGAATGAAGCTCTCAAACAGGACCCTCTGTTATTTTAGGCAGCCAAGGGGGATGCAGGGACCCCCCGTTCAGGAGAGGGAGATGGTCCCAGCCCCAGACACCACGTAAGTGACTTTGTGGTTTGGGCCTGGACTTCTTCATCCTATGGTGATGGGTTCTTGTTACCTTCCACACAGCTCTGCCTCCTGAAATGTAAAAGTCACTGAAAGGAAAGTGCTGCACTCCCTGAGCTTCGTGTATTTACTCATAACTTTTCTGTTTCTTTGATCGATTCATAATATTAAACAAAATTTTAAAGAGTCAACTTTTTTTTTTTTTTTTTTAAAAAGCTTTTTCCGGGTGTGTTCCTTTTCTTAAAATAATCAGTGGGATTGTGTTCAGTCATCTTCCTCTCTCTTGCTGCTTTTTGACTTTCTGCAAGAACCTTGGCTCAGGCAGTGGAGCTAAATACACACAGAATTATTTTTACTTTGTTGATTTACTTGTCTTCTGAGGATTTAGGTGGAAACTCTACAAAAGAGAACTGAAAATGAGAATGAAAACTGTGCACTGCAATGTAACAAAAGCCATGAAAATATTTGTTTCTTGTTCTGTTTTTGTTTCTTTCGTTCTGTGTTCATAAAACCTAAACCCAACCTTTGGGTGTGGTATTTGCATTCTATTCTTCATGGCTTTCAAAATGCTTCAGAAAAATCATATTTTCATTAGAAATACAAATTCTGTTAATCTGAGAATCAAACCCTCACCCGCTGCAAGTGAAGATATCCAGAAGAATTTATCTCTCAGTAATGAGAACTAAAAGAAGGTTCTGTCTATTGACAGTTTCCTTTAAGAGGAAAACTGAAGTTGCATTCAAAGCTGACATTTCAGAATTTCCTTTTTTAAATAGCTGTAAAATTATATCTCTCTTCCTATTTTCACAATGTCTGATGACACCAAGGTTAATTTTTATGAATTATGTCTTTAAAAGCATCCTAAATATAGAAGGGCCTTGTCTTGTGACACTTAATCCTTATTTCATGCAAGAGCTTTGTGAAGTGATCTGAGTAAGACACCAAAAATTTCAGCCCTGGATCTATTATATTATTTTAATGGGCAGCCGGCTTCCTTCCATTTTTGTAAATCAGTTTATTGTTCTTCCTCCTTCTCTTCCTTGTCCTGGTGTAAAGCAGAACAATTTTATTCCTCAGAGGAGCCCAAGGAAAACTGGATCTGCTGTTGACTTCTTCCTTTTTTGGGGATTTCTTTGAAAGGATTTCCTTAAATTATGCCATAGTGCCTCTGGGATGTTGTGATTTTTCTCCCCTTCTCATCCCTGCCACTCTTCACCCTCCAGAAATTGCTCCAAAACCATAGAAATCCTGGGCTTGAAAATCAGCCTTGGCCCAAAGTCTCCTGTAAGATAACGGGGAAAATGCTGTGCATTTTTCTTCTTTTATTTCAGTGGCACTGCAAATGTTGAGGGAGGCAAAGCAAACTGCCAGGAGCAGCTCCCCTTTGGAATAAGGAGCGTTAAAATCTTTCATTATTCATCGGCCTCACTCCGCATTTCCTGAGCTGCTCCCATCAATATCAAATCTGCCCATTTCCTGCCTTTCAAGGTTAATATGAAACACCTCAAAGAGATTATCTGATAGGGTTTGACTTGGGTATTTTTTGCCTGGAAAATGTATTATGAATATTTTTTAAAAAGTGTTTTGTCTGCCTGACATCAAAGGCCCCACCTGCTCTCAGCCATGGGGACGGTTCTGCTTTGGCTGCAGCGCTGTCTTGGGCACGTGTGGGGAGGAAAAACTCTAATTTCACACCCACAGAGCAAAGGCACAGATTTCACAGAGTGTTTCTGAGGGTCCCAGACTCCTCTGGCCCCTCTGAACTCTGTGTCTGGGCTCAGCCCCAGCGCTGTGCTTGTCGCTGCAGCGGAGGTGAACATTTAAAATTTTGCCAGGGAATCATTCCAAAGGTGAGCTGGGGCCAATTCCAGTGAGAAGGGTCTTGGGAAGAGCTCCCAAAATTAACTGAGTCATTCCAAAGGTGAGCTGAGACCAATTCCAGTGAAAAGGGACTTGGGAAGAGCTCCCAGAATTAACTGAGCCATTCCAAAGGTGAGCTGGGGCCACTTCCAGTGGGAAGGGACTTGGGAAGAGATGCTGGGGCTCAGAGCTCCCAGAGTTAACTGAGTTTGAAATGTGCTTGGTGTCCATCCTCCCACATCCCCTGGGCACTGCAAAGTGTCACTTCCCAGGTGAGGGGACCCAGCTGGGGTGTGTGTGGTGTCTGTGAGCCCAGACCACAGCTCTGCTCTCCTCTGACCCCCCTGAACCTGCCTGAAAAATTTAAATATCCCCTCCTTCACCTCCTCCTGCTGGATCTTTTAAGACAAGACTGGATTTTTCAAGTCTAAGAGCAGAGCAATCCAGGTGTGAGGAAATATTTGCCCACATATATCAATTCCTGGAAAAATAAATCATTCCAAAACTTCATATTTAGTGGAGGAGTTGAGTCCCCTGGTCAAGTCTGGCTGTATTAAATGGATTCTGTGCTTTAAACATGGAACTTTTAAAAAATTGGGTAGCGAGGAGCTGAATTGAGTGGAAAAAGCAAGCAGCAGGATTGTTGTCCCCTCTCATTCTTGTTTCCCCAAAATTAGACAGGCTTGAACATTTTTTATTTTTAAATACAAGAGGTGTATTTGCATTCTGTTTCTCTAGAGTTTCTGCTTTCAGGGTTTTCTCTGAAATCATGATACCTAAAAAATGTTTTTGTTTTGAATGAAAGCTAAGCCTGTCGTGTGAGCACATAACCCCAGGCCTTCAGAAAAACACCAATTATTTCAAGACTAATGGTAAAATTCCCAAAGCTGGAAAAATACACAGCCTTAAGCTTGGGCCATGGTCTGAGGGCAGATGTGAGATTTCCAGCTTTTCAACATGGCAAATTTGTGCTCTTTTACTGATGGCAATAAATAAAGCCATATGGGTTTGGGTTTTTGGTGGGGTTTTTTTGTTTGTTTGTTTGGTTTTTTGCATAAGAAAAAAGAAAATCCAATTTGCAGACAGATTTCCTGGCAAAACCACCCTCATTTATGACTTTCCAAACAGTGACAATTTCATTGTCTGATCCTTTGTTTGCCAGATACGATTTTTCTTGTGTGAACTTCAAATATATCCTGAACTTCTCTGAGTTCCAGAATCTTCCCCTTTACTCTAGACAGGTGCTTTGTGATTGTGGTTTTTGGGAAGATTTCCTGTCTCTTCTTTTGCACTTGTACATGAAATTTTCTATGGTATTCTGGCTTTCCACAGGCAAACCCTTTGTTGTTAATTTTTGGCTGGAGTGTTGCTCATTCACAGGGAATTTGTTTTCATCCTTTGCTTTATGGGGTGTTTTGATTTTTGTCCTCTCTCAGATCTTTTCCTTGCGCTTTTTGGGTGCTTTCCCTGCTTGGGGTGCAAACCCTGGGGGTGCTGCAGTGGGCAGTGACTGTGTGCTGCTCTCTGCTCCTGGGGCAGCTCCAGCAGACACATCAGTGCAGCTGTTCCAGGCAGGGATGGTTTGCTCCTGCAGGCTTTGCTCATGGAACTCCATCAGCTCCCTGAGCCAACACTGCAGGACTTCATCCATCCCAACCTCAGGAAATGCAAACCTGCTGGGGCAGCAGGATTCCTCCTGCCAGGTGCCCTTTCATTTTATCAATTATTATTTTTTCCCCTAACATTTTTATGGATCTCCTTCTGAACTCGTTCTATTCCCCACTAAAAACACCCCCTGTTTGAAACCGCTGCAGACTTTGAACGCCACGGAGAAGCCTCTTGCCCCACCTGAGAGCGACCCTGGGGGCCCAAGGAGCAAAGAGGGCTCCAAAGACAAGAAATCCACGCTGGAGCTGGGCAAGCAGAAGGGCAAGGAGCAGCCAGAGCCCCGGGAGCAGCCAGCACCCGACCCTGACTCCATCCACAACGGCGGCGACGCCAAGGAACCCTCCTACAAGAAGACAGAGAAGAGGCAGTCCCTGGGAGGGTTTTTTAAAGGCCTTGTACGTTCATTTATCTTCCTTTTTTTTTTTTTTTTTTTTTTTTTTTTGCTGTTTTCCAGCTGGTTTAGGCACTCAGGCTCTGCTCCATGTGGGATTTGTGCTTCAGCTTCAACCTGGGCCAAGGAGCAGCAAGGTTTTGGTAAAGGAAGGAAAATTCAGGCCTGGGTGCTGATTGAGGCAAGGGGGGTTTGCCCAGGAGTTGTTGGCACAGCTCTGGGTTTGGGGTTCATGCCTCCATGACTCGATGTAACTACAAATTACAGGAAATTAAAATTTAAAAAAAAAAATTAAGGGGAAGTGGAGGTGGGGCTGGTTTACCAAGGGAACCTGCCTGCCCCCATGGGGGTGCAGCTGGGACATCCCTGACAAAGAAAATCCCTGCAAAACAAAATCCCTGCAAGTTCCAAATCAAGGGAGGGGATCAAAATCAAAACTCCTTCGTGGCGTTTAACAAGAGACACACATCTAGAATTCTTCCAGAAAGGGAGATCTGAAGGAGTGCAGAAACACCTTCAAAATTCCTGAAAGAGGCAGGAAAGGTGGCTCAGATTGAAAGGGCAAGAAAAGCTTTTAGATCAGGAGGAGATTGTGAGAGGGAAAAGACCATTTGAGGAATAAAACAGAATCAGGGTAGAGGAAGCAGAGAAGTTCTGTGGGATTTATTTTTTCACTTTGCCTCAGTTTGGCTGTGCAGTCCCTTATCTTCTGCTGCAATTACAGGGAGTGCTCCTGCAGCTTCCCTCTCCTGTTAACTCTAAAAAAGGAGACATTTTTGACAACAGTGAAGTTGGTTTGGTCAGTTTATTGTGCTTCAAAGTGGCAGAAAACCACATAACAATGAAGTCTGCATATGGGAAAAATTCTCATGAAATATAATTATGGATTATTATTATTATTATTACCACTCTTAGAATATCCTCAAGGTTACCAAGAAATAAGAAACTCATTCTTCAATCTAAAAAAATAATCTCCTCATCTCCTAGGTGATCAGAAGGTGCAATCATTGATCTAAAAGTATTAGATCACACAAACCAACCAATGCCAGCATTGCCATTTCAAGATAACAACTCGATTGTCTGGAAGCAACTCCGCAGAGAAATTCAGCTTTTAGTTGATAAAATGGGAGCAGGAGATGTTGAAGAGGGGATCCAGCAGCTCACCCAACAACTCCTATTCTGGATTTTAACACCCCCCTCTCCTGGACCCTGAGTCCCCTGGGAATGGCACAGAGCAGGAGGATGCCACAGGGCAGGAATGCAGATTAAACACTGCAACTCCAGCCTCTGCTCCCAGCTGGGCTACAATGCCAAAATTTGGGCTACAAATGCTGGAATTTTGGCTCCAAATGCTGAAATTTTGGCTATAACCGGAGCCATTTCTGCAAGCAAACAGCATCAGTGCCCAGCTGCAGGGTATGAGCACAGATAAGGTTGTTCCTATGGTAAAAGAGATTAATTTATAAACTGTAGCAAGTGTATTTAGGGAGTCTTTGAAAGATTAGATTAGAAAGAAAAAGAAAGGGGAAAAAAGATTAATAACATTGTTTCCTGAGCTGGAATAACTCATAGTGCAGTTGTCAGGAGCTGGGAGTACTCAGCACGTGGAAAGTATTTGGATTTTTTCTGATCAGAGGATGTGCTGCACTGAGCCAGGCTTCTCCTGAGCAAAATCTGGGGGGGAAAGTACTCCAGCACCACTATTTTGCTATGTGTGCACTTTAAAATGCTCTGCCCAAATGTTCCAACCTCGCTGCCACAAAGCCATGAACTGGTGGTACCTGAGCTCCTGAATCCCAGGGCAGAGCTGGAATTTGTCCATTAAAAAAGGCAGAACAAAGTTCTTTCTTTCAGGAGAAAGAAGGGCATGGAAATTCCAGTTCAACAGAAATCATCAGCCAGGCTGATCTTCCTGCTTTAATCAGCAACCACCTTGAAAATGGGTGCAGCAGGAGACTGCAGCAAAGCGAGTGCTAAATAAGGCAAAAATGGGGATTATCTCCGAGGAGCCTCCTCTCCTGTCTCCTCCCTCCACCCTTTTATAGGCAGAAAGGCAAATTGGATCATCTTATTCCCTAATCAGTTTAGAAATGACTTCATCATGCTCAGACAGGAGCTGGAGCTGGCAGACCCCATTACTCCTGTGATGTGGAAAATCCTTACCTGATGTGCAGTTTTTTAGGGTTTCTGGGTAAATTTGGAATGAAGAGCTCACCTAGTATTGGTTGATGGATAAATGATGGATTTGCTGCTACCTGTAAGTGGCCAAACCCATTTATTCTGCTCCAAACTCAACATCAGGGAAAGCAGAGGCAAAGCCACTGCAGGCAGCTGAGCTGCACAAGGTTACCATCAGTTTTAGATGGGATTTTTCAGTCCATTGTGGGTTTTGGCTGCTCTTTTTCATACTTAGATCTTCCAAGGTGAAAAATTAAAGGAAGATCAGTGAGGTGGAGCCTTATCAGTGCAAAAACCTTTCTGGTTTTACTTCCCTGAAGGGGATGAAGAAGTCGAGACCTTTCACTCTCCGTGTGTAACACAGAAACCTCCTGAAGTGGTGACTCAGGTTTCCAGAAAAGGACAATTCACACATTGTTCTGCCTGGTTCCTATCCTAGGGAAAGCACAGAGTCACCTTTAGCTTTGTCCTGCAGGATTTTCTGCTTAGCAAGGCATGATTCGGGTTACAAACAGCACTGACACCCCACAGTGCTAACAGTGACCTCAAACACTGTTTGTGGGTCCGTTTTGCTGAAGTTTTGGCAGCTTCAAGGCCAGCAAAATTAGGTCAAGCATCTTAAAGCAGAGCCAAGTTTTTATCAGTTAGTGAAAAATGTAGTTGGTATAGTTAGAGCTATACATTTCCTTCATCTAAGCTGGATTAGTGTCTTGGAGTGGTTCCAAACCCAGAATTATGTTTGCAGTGTAAAAAAAGCTTTATCACTCGAACATTGTCGAATACCTGTCATGCATAAAAGTATTTAATGTTCCTTTAACCTAGAGCAGGGCTTGCTAGAATACACCATTCATCATGCTTGAAGGACTCTTAGCAGGGCTGCAGCGAAGCGTTTAGGGCAGGGAAATGTTAGAGAAAGTTATGCCAAAACTCCAGTACTACAGACACACAGCAAATGTGAGCCCAGTTCCTGAAAACAATTGTTTCCATTCCAATTGAGACAATTATATTAAGATAACCCCCACATTTAACCAGGAACTTTGTGTGGTTCCCATGATACCGACGGTGCTCATATATTTGTGCATATTAAATGAAGAGAAGCAGGGAGATTAAATCAGTGGGAAATATCTGGTAGCAAAAGTCTAGGACACAATTCCAGACTTGACCATTCAGAAATAGTTGTTAATGTTCCTAAAGGTGTCTCTCTTGTCCCACAGGGCTCCAAAAGGATGTCGGATGCAGAAGTGCAGACAGATCCCGTGTCCATCCTCCCTGCTGGGAAATCCAAGTAGTGCCCAGCCCTGGCTGCTGGAGGGAGGCTCAGCAGCTCTCTGGGAGCTCCTGGCAGCAGGAATGACTCCTTTCCTTTCTGGCAGCAGGAATGACTCCTTTCTGGCAGCAGGAATGACTCCTTTTCCTCCCCACAGCTGCCAGCAAACACCCGAGGCTGAAGCAAACTCTGGGGTGTCACTGCAGGTTGTCACTGGCAGGGTTTGTTGCTCACCTGTAGAAAGCAGCTCTAAAGATCCCCATGAAATGTGTTAAAGGTAAGGTGCTGTGGATGAAGTGAGTAAAGGGGAGGGTAAGTTAGGGATGAGGATGGCAGAGAATTCAATAAATGGCAGAAAAAGCAGAGAATCGGACAGAGCTGCACAAGGTTACCATCGGTTTTATATAGGATTTTTCAGTCCATTGTGATTTCCAGAATTCAATGCATGGCACAGAAAAGCAAAGCACGTGGCAGAGGATGGCAGCGAGGCACGGGCAGAGAATCCTTCATTCAGAGAGCTCAAAAGCGGCCAGGAAAGCACAAATCCCCTGCGAAATGTTCTGCAACCGAACAGCAGCCGGGTCCCTTCTGGTGGGGTTCCCACAGAGCTGGAATTGAGCTGAGCCTTCAGCCTGACACAGCCCCTGCTGATCCAGCCCTGCTTCCCCCGGGTTATTAATGGAAATTAAAACGCTAAATGCAAAGGCTTGACGTGATTGAGGCAGCTCCTCTCTTGGCCAGGCGGGGTGGGATAACAAATTAAAAGCTATTTAAGGTTCTAATAGGACACAAGAGGGCAGCCACGTCCCTAACGCCGGGCTGTGCCTGCCAGCCCGGAATTAATGTTCCTTAGACTGTAGGAAACTTTAGTTGTTCATCCCGATGTTTGTTTATAGCCATACTTGTAATTAATCCTAATAAAAACCAAAATCGAAGCTGCCCAGGCAGCTCTCTGCTTCACAAGACTCCTGTAATAACTGTAGTTAATAAATATTACAGAAAATTAAGATTTCTGTTCGTTCAATCCTAGCCTGTACAGGGAGCCAGGAGCCTGATGTTTTAATCCACATTGATCTTAATGATGCAATACTGTATATTTTGACATCCTTATCTTTAAATAAACTAATACTTATCCTTTGAAACAAAAAATCAGTTGCTGCTTCAGTTTTCAAACCAAGTTTGTTATTTCCATCCCCGTGGTCTGATGATCGATGTGACATTAAGGCATAAATCAGCACAGCCAAACCCTGCCTGTGGAGGGAATTTTTGTTATTCTCTCTTCATCTGGGTGAAGATTCCACCTGGAAAGCAAGGGAGAATTCTGTAAATTCTGCAGAATTGTGTTTCTAGCTAATCAGAGAGGCCAGAGGTGAAAAGGCCCTGCAGTTCAGTGAGGTTTTGGCTGCAGCTTTGGGGTGCCCAGCCAAAACCTGCAGCTGGTTCTGTGCAGAGAGCACAGAGCAAAGGTTTTTTAGTTACAAAGGCTCTTTCTGCTCCCCCCACTGGCACTTTGGTGCCATACAAAGGGATTTCCATCCCTGGGGATTGCTCCCAGGTTTCCAGCCTGACCCACAGCCCCTCCTTGTCCTTCTGGGCAGGACCAGCGACTCCTGTGCAGCCCCAGCGTGAAAGTTGGAGCACAACTGGAGCAGATCACGCTGATCAAGGGTCTCAGGGAGTGTTTCATGGGGGCATTTTGGAAGGGTTTTAAACATCTGATAAATATAGAAGGGAATGGATCCAAATTGCAAGTTTTTGTGCAAGAAATGCAGGCTGACGGCACACAGAGGTTTATTTGCAGGTTCCCAGTGGTGTTCTCTGTGTCTGGAGCTGAGCTGCATTCCCAGGAGGGCTGCAGGGCCATAAACCCCTCTGAGAGCCCCTAGAAAGCACCAAGTCCCTCCCTGCTGGCCGTGCCAGACCCACCTGCCCCAGAGCAGGGAATCTGAGCAGGATCTTGCCCCTTGGACGTTTAAGATCCTCCACTTTGGGAGCTGAGTCTGCTCACGCTGAGCCAGGCCCTGACTTCCAGGTTTGTGTTTCCCAGCTCTGCACCCACAACAAAATCAGGTTTTTTTATGAACACCTGATACCTTTTGGGATGTAAACGTTTGCAGCTGGCTTTAAAGCCACTCCTGCAGCAAACCCCATGGTTTCCTGCACAGAAGGATGGAGTGACAGGAGATAAACACAGAGGGGTTGTGGCTGTGGGACTGGAGGTGGAATGGCTCTGAATTCTGTACAGTCACACAATCTCTGAGAATATCAGTGAGGAACCTGGATTTGTTATAGACTCCACCTCTTCTGGATAGCACACCCTGGGCTTTCCTGGCAATTTCAGCAGCTCAGCAGTTCTGAAAACACAAAAACAGGAAATTCTGCAGCAGCCCTGACGAGGCTGAAGATGCTTACAAATTCCTTAAAGAAGTGTCATTTTCTGGAAACAGATTATCAAAAGCCTCGAAGAAGAAAAAGAAGAAGAAGAATAAACTTCTTATCACCACTCTTTGCTTTTACTTCATCATTTCCTCTTAAATCCGTCACCTGCTGAAGGGCAGAGGAAAGAACCTCCTGCACAGGAAGCACCGGAGATTTGACTTTAAACTGGAAAGGGACAAAGTCCAAATTCCTCCTTTATCACAGCCCAGGTGATGCAGAATCCAGCAGTGCCCCTTCACCTGCCTTTATTCTGATCACAGGGGTGGGAAGGACAGGCCCTCAACACATGGCATTTTGTGGGATGGTTCTGGGGTGGTTCCCCCATGGTTTGGGCTGATTCCCCTGGATTTTGTGGAGTGGTTCCCTTGGATTTTGTGGGGTGGTTCCCCCTGGATTTTGTGGAGTGGTTCCCCCATGGTTTGGGCTGATTCCCCTGGATTTTGTGGGGTGGTTCCCTTAGATTTTGTGGGGTGCTTCCCCTGGCAGTGCTGTGCAGTTCCTTGGCTCCATCCCCACCCCACCCTTTGGGAAGTGCTGCCCACCTGCAGCCCAGCACATCCCTCTGCTCTCCCACCTTTCTGCTGGAAGCCAAAATGTGGCCTTGGCCACCTAATTAAACCATAAATAACTCTGACCTCCTTAAATATCTATTTAAAAGTGAACGGCAATGCTAAAATGTGAATTTCGTGGAGCCTGGAAGTACAGGGAAACATTTATCACAGAAATAACAAGTTTTTAAGTTGTCTTTCCTTGTAAAATGTGCTGGGAAGGAGGGGATGTGACACTAAAGCCTCTGACAGACCCAAACAGGGCTGGTATTGAGAGTTTTGATGTGAAAAAAATGATGGATTTTGGTGCATCAGCATCAGAAAAGCTTTCTTGGTGAAGGAAATTGTGAAATACTCTTTCTTGGGTTAATCTTGGTGGGGGATTTTTTTTCTGTTTTATTAATTCTCAACAAACAAATTTGTCAGCATCACTAAAGTCTGTAACTGCCTTGATTAGTACAAAGAGATTAAGAAATGGTGTGAAAAGAACCTGAATTCTGCCTTCAGGGCACTCGGGGGCTGTGGCAAGGTGAGGGTTAAGGGAAATCTCCTTTTTCCCCGGTGCTGTGTGTCAGTCACAGAGCTGACCTGCAGTGATGTAACACAATATGGACACCCAGGCTTTTACCAAATGTCACTTTGAAACAAAGCATGTGCTTTTAGAGAAAGTTGTTTGTTTTAACTGAGCCCAAAATTAAGCATTCATCATCTTGTCTCCTGTACAGCACATTGTTCTAGTTTGGAAAAAAAAATTGAAACTAAGCCATATGCTGAAAGGGGGAAAATTCAGAAAAATTTCCTCACTTTTCATCCAGTCTGTGCCTCGATTTTTTGAGCTTCAAGGGGAGGAAAAATGTAATTGCTGCAGACAGGGTAAAGATGGTAGTTGCTATTCCCAGTGCTTTACACAGAGTAGGTGCTTTCAAGAGCTTGGAAACAAACTTTGCACTAAAATTACTGCTGGTTACTGGCAGAATTGCTTGTAAATGTCTGTATTGGAGGCTGGAAATAGAATTTCGGGGTTTGCAGAACGTGTTCCTCAGGCTTGTTGTTCACAGATGTAGCTTTGTTCTGATGGGCATGCGGCTGCCAAGAAATTCCTAAGCAACTACTGATTATGCAGGCTTTAAATTTGGGGGGTTCTGCATGTAATTCCTCCAAGAACCGAAGGTTTTATAAATGCTGATTCTTTGGCAGTGACATGTTGTGGAGGTCACCCCAAATCGACATTGTCAGCTCATTTTCAGCTTCTCCTTTACCTTGAATTTACTCCTAACTGATTCTTCATAAGATTGTACTGTTAGTTCCAATAAAAGGGGAAAAATATGATGTTAGTTTGGAAGTTTGGGGACAAATCACCGTTTTTGTGGAATATTGTCTATTTTCAATTTGTTAGACTCCACATATCGACCACATTTATCTAAGTACTTCTTTATATCTGACTTCTTAACACATTCAGTTGAACTCTGCCCTGCCAATAGGAGAACACAAAGTACTCCTGAAAGATCTCAGTCTGCAATCTGAGGCAGTTAAAACTAATGCAGCAGCCTAGCTGTTATCACCAACAGCCATCTCAGATATTTAAAGTGACATTTTTATTCCAGTTGTTGGCCTGAATTTAGATTTTGCTGTTAACTGTCTGTAGAAAAAATAATTGACCATCAGTTTTTGCAAGTTAACGCAGTGTTGACTTCAGATCAGACACCTCCAGGAGGAGAACACTTTATTCTTCCTACATTTGTTTACACTTCTTGGATGTCTTTGGGGTATTTTACATTCAAGGCAGAGGTGCAGAGAGCACACAGTGAGGGAGCTCCATCCATTGGAGGGCTCCTTCATGCCCTCCATATTTCACTGTAGTATAACATTTTTCTATTAGTTTAAGTTAGAAACACACTGTTCAACATAAATGATAAATATTAACACATTATTATAAATATAACACACATAGTTTCTGATATATAATGTTTGTAACATCCCACTAAAAAGCAAAGCCCCACACGCTGCCCTGCAAAACAAACCTACAGCAGGGCAGCAAAACACGTTATAGATAAGCAAAAATAAACAACCTTAAAAACCAACACAAACTAATTATGACTTCTTTAACAACGAAGCAAAAAAACAAAGACCTTTTACAATCTCAAAATCATCAATACCACGAATTCCAACAGCTATTGAAAATCAGATTCCTGCTGCCATGTGTGTGCAGTGGCAGGGCAGCCCTGCCACAGATGGACACTATTAAAGGCAGAAATCAAACACCAGCACGTGTTCCAGGCAGAAAGAGCCCGAGCTCCCTGCTCGGCGGGGAAACACTTGGATTTATCTTTATAGCAGAAAGATGAGCAAGATTTGAAGCTTTTTTAGGCTGCTCCAGTGCTGGTTACCTAGAATTCTGTGTGGTTCTCACAAATTCCAATCCAACAAATGCAAAATATTTACCCGGAATTCTGTGTGGTTCTCACAAATTCCAGTCTCACAAATGCAAAATACAGTTGGTTGTTTTGCTTTTTTTTTTATGAAAAAGTCTAATGCATGAACATAGGCTCACAAAAAGTCTTGTCACCCTTTCAGGCAGGTTTCAGTGTGTGGCAGGATTATTTAGATGCCAAAAAGTGCCTCTTTTTTATTTTCCCCTCTTCTTTTTATTTCCCCCCCTCTTCTTTCCCCCCCCTTCTTTTTTTTTCCACCTCTTCTTTTCCCCCCCTTCTTTTATTTTATTTTTTCTTCTTTTATTATTTTTATTTTTTATTCTCTTATTCTTCTTATTTTTTCTTCTTTTATTTTATTTTTTCTTACCATAGCCCTGCTGTTGGTGCTGCAGTTAATCCATAGTAAACTTTGTTTTAAGTTTTATGAAGGCGGTTGAGAGCATCCTGTGGATTAGTGAGCTGAGTAAAATCTTAGTGCCCTCCAATCCTGTTTGACACACAACTTCCTCATTCAAACCCAATGTCAGCAATAAAATCAGAGCTGCTGCTTGTCCAACAGGGCGGGAATGAGTTGTTCTGTGCAGAAATGTCTGCCTGAAGCAGATTTTCCATGCAGTGTTTCATCAGTGCTGCACACCCTCACCACCCCGGCATTCCCGGGACCTCAGGGATTAGGTTCCCATCAGCTTGGATGATATCATTTCTTCCAGGACCAGATTCATGTGGTAAT